CAGAGGTAATTAGGATATCAACTAGAGTGACTGTATCACTCAGGTTATCTTTATGTAGACATACAGAGGTAATTAGGATATCAACTAGAGTGACTGTATCACTCAGGTTATCTTTATTAGACATAAAACACAACTTAAGTTTTAGTTGACACCTGGTTGTAAGGTCCAAGTGATTCTTCCCAACAATTAACTTAAACACAACTTAAGTTTTAGTTGACACCTGGTTGTAAGGTCCAAGTGATCTTCCCAACAATTAACTTAAACACAACTTAAAGTCTTAAGTTTCAGTAGAAAACTGGTTGTGAGGCTTAAATTATTGAATGGGGTATTTTTATAGGAGCATTGTGGAAAAAGTTATATGAATAAAACTGGTGGCACCCTGAAACCTAAGCATAAACATCAGATCTGATTAGTTGAACAGTCCAACCTAGGACTACAGGTCTTGCCATTTGTATTAGGTCCACATTTTGATTTATCGTGGATATGGTCCATATTTTCTTTACACTTTAAAGCATCTGTTTCATTAAGAAGAGTCTTCAGTTTCTTAATTGTTTATTGTTTCTGGAACTTTGGTTAATTAAGAGACTTTAGTTTCTAAAGACTACGTTTAATTGTATCTGGAGATTTGTTTAAGAAAGTTTTCAGTTTCTTAATCTGTTTGTTTCGGGAAGAAAAAATTTCAGTATTTTAATTTACCTTTTCTTGAATAACATTGTGTGTTGCCTGGTTAACTTCCAACCACATTTGGCTAAGTATATCGGCAATCTAAAAATGATTAAATACATATTTGTTAAAAGATGTTTTTTAAAGGTACTAGATGAGTATGGAAATAAGTATTTTTTAGGGTGTCATGGGATAAACTTGGTAGGTAAAAAAAAATATTATTTACTATGAAAAAGAGAGAAAAAAAGTTATTTTTTGAAAGTAAACAATTTGACCAGTTTTACATGTCAAGGTACCTTCTGATTGGTGGAGGGATCAACAGAACTGCTTATGCCAGTACCACTAATGCACGTGTTTCTGTTCTGATCTGAGTGATATCTAGTTGATATCCTAATTACCTCTATATGTCTATATAAAGATAATCTTAGTGATACAGTCATTCTAGTTGATATCCTAATTACCTCTATATGTCTATATAACAATAATCGTGATACAGTCACGCTAGTTGATATCATAATTACCTCTGTATGTCTAATAAGGATAACCTGAGTGATACAGTCACCCTAGTTGATATCATAATTACCTCTAAAAGTCTTAAGTTTTAGTTGACACCTGGTTGTAAGGTCCAAGTGATTCTTCCCAACAATTAACTTAAATTGTGTTTAAGTTAATTGTTGGGAAGACTCACTTGGACCTTACAACCAGGTGTCAACTAAAACTTAAGACTTTAAGTTGTGTTTAAGTTAATTGTTATAAATAACTTTCATTCCACTTTCTTCCAGTTTAACTACTGTAGGTTCATAGAATCAAATGAGTTTGTTTATAACAGCAAAACACTGTCAATTAAAACTTTAAAGTGTATTTCATTTAATCATTATTTAGAGGATTTATTCCATCTTCTTCCAGTTTGACTGTTGCGGGTTCTTAGGACCAAAGGAGTTTGCCTATAATGCCAAAACAATCGATGAAAGTTGTTATTTTAGTGAGAAATCAGTTGATAAAACAGTGGTAATTATTGAGAAGCAAGTATTGAAGAGAGTAAGTAAACAAAACGAACGTTTTATATCATATTTTCATGTAATCTTATTCTTTAGGTTTTAATAACAAATGGTCCGTATTAGTTAACATCTGTTTTTTAAGACAAGAAGAAAAAAAATGAATGTTCCACATAGGTTGTCCACTTTATGTTCTGGAAGAAGTAAATCAGAACTTTTAGGACACATATAATTTCCAGTCAGTACAAAATGATTAAGATTAGTGTTTCCATAGCCGCTTTCTTTACCATCTTCCCTTGAAAGTGGTAGATGTTACATCATATTATTGTTACTTGATGGTCATCCCACACCATCAACTATCTTCTTTACCATCTTCCCTTGAAAGTGGTAGTTGTTAGCTGATGTTACATCATATTATTATTAGTTGATGGTCATCCCACACCATCAACTATCTTCTGTACCATCTTCCCTTGAAAATGGTAGTTGTTAGCTGATGTTACATCATATTATTATTAGTTGATGGTCATCCCACACCATCAACTATCTTTTTTGCCATCTTCCCTTGAAAGTGGTAGTTGTTAGCTGATGTTACATCATATTATTGTTAGTTGATGGTCATCCCACACCATCAACTATCTTCTTTACCATCTTCCCTTGAAAGTGGTAGTTGTTAGCTGATGTTACATTCTATTATTATTAGTTGATGGTCATCCCACACCACCAACTATCTTCTGTACCATATTCCCTTGAATGTGATAGTTGTTAGCTGATGTTACATTCTATTATTGTTAGTTGATGGTCATCCCACACCATCAACTATCTTCTTTACCATCTTCCCTTGAAAGTGGTAGTTGTTAGCTGATGTTACATTCTATTATTGTTATTTGATGGTCATCCCACACCACCAATTATCTTCTGTACCATCTTCCCTTGAAAGTGGTAGTTGTTAGCTGATTCTATGTTCTCTTACATTTAGTTGATGGTCATCCCACATCATCTTCCCTTGAAAGTGGTAGTTGTTAGCTGATGTTTCATTCTACTATTGTTAGTTGATGGTCATCCCACACCATCAACTATCTTCTGTACCATCTTCCCTTGAAAGTGGTAGTTGTTAGCTGATTCTATGTTCTCTTACATTTAGTTGATTGTCATCATACACATACTTTTATGATAACAGAGAAATATATCCTAACACTGAAAAATATTTACTCCAGCTGACACTTATACTTTAAATTATTCTTAATGGATAACTTAACTTGTTAAAGCTCTTCTTTAACTGATAAATTATCATATTTACGTTACTCTTCACTGACGAGTTATTGTAATACTATTATCATTAGTGCACAGACTGAACTGGGTCAGATGTGAGTGGAAGTTAGAAAGTATTACCAGTTTTATTGTGATATTTCAATAGAATTTGGTATAACGTTATATCATTGTTCCCTACAAGATAACACTATTGGAATAACTAAACAACTTTGTACTGATTGTGCTTTTAACTTCAGGTGGGCTGCAAGGAGTATCTGGTGGACTGGTTTTATGAAAACAAAGTAATCTTGATTGTTGCTCTAGGTACTGTGCTGCTTATCCAGGTAAGGCCTTGTTTGTCATGATATGTGAGAAAAAGTAATTTTGATCATTTTTCCAGGTAGTGTTGCTTATCCAGGTAAGGCCTTGTTTGTCGTGATATGTGAGAAAAAGTAATTTTGATCATTTTTCCAGGTAGTGTTGCTTATCCAGGTAAGGCCTTGTTTGTTGTGATATGTGAGAAAAAGTAATTTTGATCATTTTTCCAGGTAGTGTTGCTTATCCAGGTATGGCCTTGTTTGTTGTGATATGTTAGAAAAAGTAATTTTGATCATTTTTCCAGGTAAGGCCTTGTTTGTCATGATATGTGAAAATAAATTGATCTTGGTTGTTGCTCTAGGTCCTGAGGTGCTCAACCAGCTAAGGCCTTTCTGACATCCAACATAATAATGGCTTCACAGCATTCCAGTACATCAATGACTTTTCTTCCTTCCAATATGATTATGGGCTCTCTAATCCCTACATGACCATGTCTTGTCTACATCACATTTTGTGACAGTGTATCTACTAGTCATGTTTTGTGATATTTTAAATACGGTGTATCTGTGAGCCATATGTTATGATATTTTAACTACAGTGTATCTGTAAGCCATATTTTATGATATTTTAACTACAGTGTATCTATAAGTCGTGTTTTGGTTCAAAATAGTTCTGATCACAATAAAACACTATAATAAGTAAACCTAATTTAAAATAAACCAAATTCCAAAATTATTATTAAAAACATTAAGTCAAAGTTGTTTAGAAGCAAGTAATACTGAACGAACATGAATAAAAATTATACAGACATTTACATAATTTAACATCAGTTAGAAAGAGGGTCAGTTCGTCACAACTCTGCCCTGGTTTGACTAAACATTGGACATGAAACCCATTGAGCATATTTGGGCTATCCTTGATCGATCCCTGCAAAAGCCAATTCCTGGGATTGTGTGCCAGGAATGTGTTGAAATCCCTCAGATCAGGAATGATAATATCACCCACACAATGTACAAGTGTACTGATACTTTTCATAAGGTGAAAATTCTAACCCCATTCATATTTTCCATCTGTTGTTTATTGATAGATTGTTTAGGCAGATTATACTGGTGTTGTTTCACACTTGGCTGTTTGTATCTCATTCTGCAACTACAAGTAAAGATAAATTCTTTTTCTGATATTAGTTAAAGTGTTTAAAGAGTAAAATCTAATCTTCAACATTTGTTTACGGTCATCTTTTCTCATAGGTAATAAATATACTTGTTGCTGTCTACCTCGTCAACCAAAAGAAACGTACCCATAGAAGTTCTTCAGTTCGTGAAATTCAAAATCACTCACATGTCTAACTGCTGTACATCCACCAAAACTTTAGTGGAAAAAACCATGTGCTGGACATCCACCAAACCATTAGTGGAAAAAATCATGTACTGGACATCCACCAAACCTTTAGTGGAAAAAATCATGTGCTGGACATCC